TTTTTTTTTTTTTTTTTTTTTTTTTCTTCCAAAACAGATTGTACATCTCGCAGCGAAACTTTAGGATGGTAAATTTTTTTGGTTTATTTTGTTTTTCTGTTTCTCCTAAGACCCCATGAAATTGCATTGGATAATTTGGCGAGTGCACCGAAAATTACCTGGCGGGCATTCGGCTTGGTGAAATTATCGGGAGCTCGACCGCTCGGGGAACGAGGGCCTCTTTCGAGTCGCGATTAAAATTCACCAGGGCGTCTCAGGGCGAGCTTACACGAGAGCGAATTGAGTGAGATCTCCCATCGCGAGATACCCCCGTGATCGACGATATATATATATATATTGCCGTTTGATCTTTGTTTTCGATTTAAACCGGCAGAGGAGGACTTATTTTTAATTTACAGACCGAACCGTGACATGTCGTGCTTTGAGAACGAAGTAGTGAGAAATGAAAAAAAAAGATTTTCAAAAAAAAAAACTAGGATTGTCGGCGCTCGCGTCGCGTGAATCCGGCGCCGCGCAATTTGCCATGAAAAATTGCGAGAATAATCAAACCAGTCAGTATAATAATTGGCTGAAGATTTACGGTAGCGTGTGTCCGATGCAAAATCCTGTCGCGCATTCAAATGGGCAGCATCTTCTCGGCCTGGATGCTGCGCTGTATCTTCGGGAAGGATTTCAGTGAAGTTCGTAGTTTAAAAAAGAAAAATAAGAAAAAAAAATGGTAAAAAATTTGAAACCAAAATAAGTTAACCAAGTCGTTGAACCGAGTGCATCCAAAAGTGCATCCGTGAAGTGGTCCATAGTTTAATCCCATCACGTTTGTTTTCACGAGGCTGCGTAATCTCGCTGTTTACGAATTCCAAAACGCAGTCGGTTCTTTGATCGTGATCAGCAGGAACCACCGATTCTTATTTATCTTTTTCATCCCTCCCATCCAAACCCTCTTTTAGGCTTACACGTGGCTCGTTCCATGTATCCCGCTCTGGATGCACTGCCGTGTGCATAAATATGCATCCTCAACGCGCGAACGCATTTATGCTCTTGTATATACATATATATTTATTTTATCCTGTTTCTTTTTTCTTTTTTCAACATTAATCTTCTTCTCCAACTTATTTCGTTGACGTTCGACACTATTGAATCTCGTGCTGTTTTCGATGCTGGAACTGCTTAAGTCGTGTTCACATGTTTAACATGTAGCATAAGGAGCAATGTAAAAAACTGACTTTGACTACGTGCCGACTTTTCAGATGCATCTGTTGCATAGGTGCAATATAATCTTATGCATTTCTCGTATGAATAAATGCGTGGGAGTGATTGTGAATTTCGAAAAAATTGTACATTTTTATGATAATTCTTGCGACGATCCAATCCATATTAAGCTATTGAAGAAAAATTCGATGAAAACCCGTCATCGCGACAGAATGCAATAAATACGATTTTATATTTAACTGTCGTAAGTGCGCGTAAATTTTGTTCACCTTTATATCATCAAGAAATTTCAATTGGCTATCGCTGATAGCATCTATTTTGATATTTGTTTGTGGCATATCTATCATGCAGAAACGGAGCGTGGCATGTACTTATAATTTCGATTAATCGATAGAGGAAAGTGACCAAATATGGAATAGTATCCATAATATGGAATACCACTGTTTCTCTTAAACAATCAATTCAAGACGAAATACTCGACCATCTTCTATCTCACTTACTCACTTTAGTGTTCCACTCATTTTATCTCGGTAGTCGATCGAGCGCCGTAGGGACGGCAACAGTGTTTTGATTTGTCGGTACCAACAAACTTTTGTAGAAAATAAGCGTTTAATAACTTATGTAGAAAATAAGCGTTTTTGGTTAGTTAATTTGTAAGAATAACGTTATTATACATTTAGCGTATTGTGATTGGGTTTGCGATTTCTGCAAGTAGAATAAGTTAATTTTAACCGAATAAGTTACTTTTATTTTTGACCAAAGTCTCAAGATCTCTTATAAAAAGACGTTACTGTTTTTTTTTATTTTTTTATTTTTTTCGAAGAAACTTTGTGTCTTATTTCCATATTCCATATTTGGGTATCTATTCCATAGATAGCTACTATTCTGTTACTTACATTTTTTAATTAAAAAAAATATGTTTTTTTATATTAAAACACAAGACTGTGACTAAGATAAGCCAAAATGTATGACTGACTGTATTTATAATTAAAAGTCTTTAATTCATCATACTGTATTTTTTATGCCACAAAAACAAAATGTTATTCCATATTTGGTCACTTTCCTCTATGATACTATGATAAAAAAATCTGTTGATGGGATCGTTATCAGAAATGCTATTCCATGTACCACAAGTCATTGCGCAATGATCCTTATCGAAAATGAAATTACATTACTGATAATTCAACTATACATATGACAGTAACACGAATATAATCGACTGATTAGAAAATAACCAAACGGGATATCGATTATTATCTGAATAACAATATTAAATGATGATCTCAGATTACGTGAAAAATAAGGTTTTCTCCACGAGCTTTCGAAAGTTAACCCTTTAACTGGCTGATTAAAGTCAAAAGCAAAATGACCGTCGATTCGTCGGATCGACTAGTTATGATAATTATTAAATGATAAATTTTAATAACAATAATACGCATGCTGAAAATATAACGTACAAAAATTTTCCAAATATTTTTATTATTTTCGCAATATTCTTGTTTTTATTTGTTTTACTTTTTTTTTTTCTTAACCTCCTTATCTTGATCATTCATTACGTAAACGTGCATTAATCACGTTCACTTCCACCACTTCCATCAAAGCCTCTATCACGTAGCCAAAGGCTATTCGTACGAATGAAGGTTAGGTTAAGGATATCTCGTACCTTCGGACATATATAAAAGAACTTCAATCGGCGCAAGCATTTCTAACGCTGCGACAATGATGACAGTAGCATCTGGACGCTTGATAGTTACGATCGGTATCATTATAGCCGGATTAGCTATCCGGGTTGATTCCGAAAAACAATGGTGGCAAACGACAACACTCTATCAGATTTATCCGCAATCATTTAAAGACAGCGATGGAAACGGATTAGGCGATTTGAATGGTAAGTGCAAAATAAAAAAAAATTTTACAATATACAAAAATTTTTCAAATTTGATTTTTCGCCAATTTCATTCATCAGTTAAAAACATTAAATTCAACGATATTTCGACGAGCTGACACGATGGTTAAGAAATTTTGATTACTAAAAAAAAAAAAAAAAATTGCGTCACTCCAAAGAGAAATAGCATGCTCATTATTCTTTCAAAATCTCTATCGCTAACCATAATCTATACTTGCGTAATCTGACATACGTCGACACGGTAATTGCGAATTCTAATAGCATCCGCGAGTTATTTACGTGTCATTTTTTCTTATTTTTCGCCAGTGCTTCACTTCCGTACAATAACAGTGGATCGGGTTACGCAATATTTCACCCATTGTCACGGATACTTAAAGTCTAGTAGACTTAGTCTACTATAAATAAAATTCTAATAAGAAATCGCTGTAATCTTAATAAGTCTAAACGTCACCAGGTATCACGAGCAAACTGGAGCATCTAAATGACATGGGAATAGAGACAGTATGGTTATCGCCATTTTTCAAAAGTCCTGAAGTCGACAACGGTTACGACGTCTCCGACTATATAGACGTAAATCCAAAGTATGGGACTTTGGAGGACTTTGACAATCTAGTAGCTCGCGCCAAGGAACTTGGAATCAAAGTGGTTCTGGACTATGTTCCTAACCATACGAGTACGGAACACGAGTGGTTTAAGTTATCCGAAGCCAGGGTCGCCCCCTATACCGATTATTACGTGTGGCACGAGGGAATTCTGGATGCAAACGGTACCAGAAGACCACCAAACAATTGGTTGAGCGTCTTCAACAGCGGAAGTGCTTGGCAATGGAGCGACAAGCGACAGGCTTATTATCTTCATCAATTTGAAGTACGCCAGGCAGATTTGAACTTCACTAATCCAGATGTTCTTCAGGAGACAAGGGTGAGTTCCGATTAATGAATACTAATACAAAGAAGATTATTATTAAAATGTAAGAAATATTAATTAGAATGTATATAAACAATACATTTTTTTTTTCTAATTAGAATATCCTCACGTTTTGGTTGGATCGTGGTATTGCTGGTTACCGTATAGATTCTGCACCTTATCTATTTGAGGATGCTGACTTCAGGGACGAACCGTTGTCTGGGCTCGATGGATATACTTCGAACGATTATTATTATCTGAAGCATTTATACACCAAAGATCTCATTGAGAATTACAACGTGATCCAGATGTGGCGTGATCATATTGATAATTATAATAGCAAGGTTAACGATGGTCTGCAGCGCGCCATGTTTACCGAGGCTTACGCTAATATAAGCATGGTAGTTTTGTACTACGATTATGGATCGCAGATCCCATTCAATTTTTTCTTTATCAAAGATAAGGATGGTGTCAACCTGGACACCAAAGTGACAGCTAGTGACGTCAAAAATACCGTTGATATGTGGATGAATAATATGCCTGTGAATGGAACTGCCAATTGGGTCGTAAGTTTCTATCCCGCTTTTGTACTGTGTGTATATATATATATATATATATTACTGTCATTATTTATTATGTAAAAAAAATAGAATTGACAGCTTGTTAATGTACTTTTAGATCGGCAATCATGACAATAGTCGCGCAGCCACGCGTTACGGTACCAACAGGGTAGACAGTCTCAACTTCATTTTACTTTTGTTACCTGGCGTCATGACGGTTTACAATGGTGACGAGATCGGCATGACGGATACGTATATAAGTTGGGAGGAAACACAAGATCCTCAGGCCTGCAGCACTGATCCTGATCGCTATCAGGCATTTTCCAGGGATCCTGAGCGCACGCCTTTTCAATGGGATGATTCTACGTCTGCAGGTGGGTAATCGGTTGCAGGTTGAGTTATATTATTTTTAAGTGATATATAGTTCGATTAATTTATTTTTTTTAGGATTCTCTACAAATTCCACCACGTTTTTGCCGGTGAACACAAATTATCGTACACTGAATTTGGCGGCGCAAAAGGCCGCTGATAAGAGTTACTACAAGAACTTCCAGGCAGTCATGAGGCTCAGGAACACGACGGTGGCTAAGAATGGAAATCTGACGTCATTTGTCATAAAGAACCAGATCTTCGCGTTCTCCAGGGAACTGGAGGGTCACGATCCATTAATAGTTGTTGTCAATTGGGGAAATACTTCGGTACAAGCCAATTTTGATAAACTTCTTTTTAATGATAACCAGCGTCTGAAAGTGATTCTGTCTAATGTGGGTTCTAATATCGAAGTTGGGTGAGTGATGAAAAAAATTCGAAATCTTTTTCATAACCTGTCCAATGTCTTTATCTATGTTAATTTATCTTTTTCTTGCAGATCCACTATACTCAGGAGTAGCATCACATTGGCACCTCACGCTGCCTTGGTCTTAACAACATCATCGTCTGGTTTTCTATGCTCTGGCTCAATGATTCTCTTACAAGTTTCCTGTCTGATATCCGTCTTTCGGTCGTTCTTCAACTCGTGAATCAAAATCGTGCTTGAAGTCCTGAACTTACCGAGACTCGTTATAAGCTTGTAATAAGTTTTGTATATTGGTATAACGATAAATCTGCTCATTAATCATTAGAATTCATAATACGCGATAATATGCATGTCAGGTGTATATGGCGATAACGATTGTTCCTAGTAATTTAATTTTTGTATTTATATTTGGCTAATTAGATTTTATTAATTTGACAGTCTCTTGCCTATAGTATGGGTATAAGAAAAGAGACTTTGCTAGATCGTATTTATGGGATATCAAGAAATTGTACCATTAAATGGAATAAAATATTTCAGATATGAAATTTGCCTCTTTAATATTCATTGATAAATTATACAGGGTGAGCTACTTCAAACGTTGAATTCAGCTGTGACTTAGCTGTTGCGAAGTCATGCTCCTTATCTAACACATGGTAATGATATCATAGTAGGGACAGAAGACGTTTAGAAATTAACATAGCTTAATACACTTTAAAATTATTCATAGTATGATAGCAAGTGACTGTGATAATAATACATGAAAATTGCTAATATCGTTATAAGCGTATATGTTTTTCCGACTTTTAACTCTAGGGCCTCGACTTGGCAAGGAGTAATACCCATTTAAATTCATCGTTTGGAATTACTCGAACTGCATGTATTTTAACATTAGGATGTTTATTAGGGCGAATATCAGGGAAAATGATGCGTCACGAAAATGCGTAACGCTTGAAATTCTGATATTGCTAACGCGTGATTCTGTGAAAATGCAAAACACATAAATTCTGATAATGTTAGTGCGCCATTTCTGTAAGAGTAGTGGGAGTGTATATATATGTATATGAAACGGAATTTGAAAATTTCTAGAATTCCTACGTTTCGTAAATTTTCTATATCCCGATTTGAAAACTTGTATCATAAATCCTAATGTTCTCCGTTGGTTTCGCGGAGTGCGAGATCTGTGGATTCCTTTATTGATACGTGAAATCTACTGTCACCAGAATAAAAGATATCAATTTATGAGATCACTGTGTTTCGACTGGAAGTTTGTTGTGAAAGTTGAAATTTGACAAGGAAATTTAATAAACGTTGGTTAACAATGTGTTCAAAAATTAAATTCACATTTAACCACATATTTTTCACAGATGTCAGATGCTAGCTAAATGTAATAATAGTTTTATGATTATACACGGTGACTTATAAAGTAATTATACCTGGACCAGAAAGCACGTTGAGCGAGTGGAAGTATTAGTGATTATTGTGATCGGATTGAATTTCCTACCTCGACGCAATGAAAAATAGTGTGTCCAACTGAATTCTTTACTATAACTGTTGGATCGTTGTAAAAATAACGGTTCGATTTCATTTAAATGTCTTACCAAGTATACGCCACGATAGAAGGTAGTTCATGATGAGCAAGCAAAGTTTTCGGACGCGACCTACACTGCTTGATGGATCTGTTTCAGTGGTTCGAATGTACATTCGGTATTGCAGAATATAATTGTTGAGCATTAAAGAATCATAGAATGTTGGAAGACCTAAGAAATTACATTTTATCAGTTGCACCATAACAGCGTGATATGTATTTTCACATTTGCTTGTTAATTCTAGATATCTCAGTCCATGTATTTCCTTCCCAGACACTGATTATTTACACGTGTTGAAATATGATTTAGTTTCGCAAATTGTATGAACAGCTGAATAATGAAATAAAAGCAATACATAAACGATCCAATCGATATATTATACATATAAGAAAACTGTGACCTGCCGAAACTCAACTATTGCAACAATGGTGACATCGGCATCTAGACGCTTGGCTGTCGCCATATTCGCTATCGCAGCCGGACTGGTTCTCCAGGTTCATGGTGAGAAGCAATGGTGGCAAACAACGACTGTCTATCAGATTTGGCCGCGATCCTTTAAGGACAGCGATGGAGACGGAATTGGCGATTTGAATGGTAAGTAGGACGTACGGAATTAAATTCTAAGTGACGTCACTGTGATGTTAATCAGTCTAAACGCCATCAGGTATCACAAGCAAACTGGAACATCTAAACGACATGGGAATAGAGACAATATGGATATCCCCATTTTTCAAAAGTCCACTAGTCGACAGTGGCTACGACGTCTCCGACTACTTAGCCATAGACCCAATGTATGGGACTTTGGAGGACTTTGACAATCTAGTAGCTCGCGCCAAGGAACTTGGAATCAAAGTGGTTCTGGACTACGTTCCTAACCATACGAGTACGGAACACGAGTGGTTTAAGTTATCCGAAGCCAGTGTCGCCCCCTATACCGATTATTACGTGTGGCACGAGGGAATTCTGGATGAAAACGGTACCAGAAGACCACCGAACAATTGGTTGAGCCTTTTCAATAGCGGAAGTGCTTGGGAATGGAGCGACAAGCGACAGGCTTATTATTACCATCTATTTGAAAAAAGGATGGCAGATTTGAACTTCAGGAATGAGTTAGTCATTCAGGAAACGAAGGTAAGCCATAGTTACTAGTGAATAATGAATAATGAATACCATAGTTCTGTAACTCATTCAATTGTTTCCCCACTAGAAAGTAATTACGTACTGGCTGGATCGCGGTGTTTTTGGATTACGTATGGATGCAATGCCACATATCTACGAGGATGCTGAATTTAGAGACGAACCGTTATCAGGAAGAGACATACCTGCTAATGAGTACATGTACTTAAATCATATCTATACCAAGGATTTGATTGAAAATTATGAACTTATTCGTATATGGAGAGATCACTTTGATGAATATAATGCAAAGGCTAATGATGGTCTAGAGCGCATCATGTTTACCGAGGCATTCACTGATATATACATGATGACTTTATATTATCATTACGGTGCTCATATCCCGTTCAATTTCCTCTTTATCACAAACAACGGTATTGGCTATAATGCTGCAACTCAGTCACCTGCAGGAATCAAGAATATTATTGATGAATGGCTTCGGCATATGCCTGAAGGAGCAACACCCAACTGGGTCGTAAGTTTGAAATACACTTTTGTGCCTTTATAATTTTATTTTATTATGTAAGAATTCAAATTAACAGCTCATTAATACGTTACCAGATTGGCAATCATGACAGAGCGCGCATGGCCACGCGTTTCGGTTCCGAGAAGATAGATATGTTCAACTTCATTTTACTTTTGTTACCTGGCGTCATGACGGTTTACAATGGTGACGAGATCGGCATGACGAATACGTATATAAGTTGGGAGGAAACACGAGATCCTGAGGCCTGCAACATTGGTCCTGATCGCTATCATGCATTTTCTAGGGAGCCTGTGCGCACGCCTTTTCAATGGGATGATTCTACGTCAGCAGGTGGGTAATCGGTTGTAGGTTCAGTTACATTACTGTCACGTGGAATATACTTCAATGTTATTTTCATTTTACCAGGATTCTCTACGAACACCACGGTGTACTTGAAAGTGAACGAGAATTATCGTACACTGAATTTGGCGGCGCAAAAGGCTGCTGATAAGAGTCACTATAAGAACTTCCAGGCAGCCATGAGGCTCAGGAACACGACGGTGGCCAAAGATGGAGCCCTGAAGACACTCGTTATCGGCGAGGATGTCTTCGCCATGTCCAGAGAATTGGATGGTCACGACCCCCTACTCGTTGTTATTAACTGGTCGAAGTCTCCGGTAACAGTCAGTCTTGATGACTTCAGTAACTTCAGTGAGAAGCTGGAAGTGCTTCTGTCGGACGTTAATAGTGATTTCAAATTTGGGTGAGTGATTACGAAATCCAAAATGTTGTCATTCCTTTATCGGCTGAACAATACCTACATTACATTATTTAATTTTATTCTTCCAGAGACACTGTATCCAGGAGCAGCATTACCCTGCAGGGTAATGCAGCTTTGGTATTAACATCATCTGACATTACCCGGTTCCACTACTCGGACGCCTCAGAAGCGCCTGTCCAACACCATCCTTGAAATTCTTCTTCAACGTGTAAATCAAGTTGAAATATGAAAAGCAGAATTTAATAAACCTCGGTTAATAATGTGGTCATAAATTGAATTGACAGTAGTTAACATTTAACTACCTGTTTTTCACGCATGTCAGATGCTACCTAAATGTAATAATACAATTTTATGGTTATAAGTGGTGACTTATAAAGTAATTATACCTGCAATAGAAAGCACACTGAGCGAGTGGGATTGTTGGTGATTATTGTGATCGGATTGTAACTTCCTACCTCCACGCAATATGAAAAATAGTGTACTCAACTGGATTCTCTACTACAACTGTTGGATCGTTGTAAAAATAACGGTTCAATTTTATTGAAATGTGCTTCGAAGTATGCGCCATGATAGAAGTTAGTCGATGACGACCAAGCAAAACTTGCGGACACGGCCTACACTGCCTGATGGATCTGTTCCAGTGTTTCAACTGTGCATTTGGTATTACAGAATATACCGGTGGTATAGAGCGTCATGTTTACGGAGGGTTACAGTACAAATCCGTGACCACTTTATATTATCATTACGGTGCTCACATCCCATTCAACTTCTTCCTTATCAGAAAGACCGGTATCACCTTTAGGGCTGAAAATCAGAGCAGCGCAAACATCAAGAGTACCATTTATGAATGACTTGAGAATATGCTTGAAGCTGGATGATGCAACTGGGTCGAAAGTTTGAAATACCTTTTCGTGCTGTTATGATTTTATTTTGTTATGTAATATTAAAGATTCAAAATATTCGCGCGCTAAACAGGCATTAGTCCCCACAAGTCGGAGAGCGACGCTCGACTAGCTGCGGGCGACGATAGGCCCGTACGATCGGGTGAGCACGCGATTGGCCAACGGCTCACGAAGTGTCACGGAGACGACCGAACTTTGGCGATGGAGAGGGGAGGAAGAACGAACGACGGAGAGAGAAACGGGGACGGTCGAGTAACAGCACGGCGTGTCGGCAACGGAATCGGACGGGATCTCAGCTATCGAGTCTAACTCAGTC